AAAAAATCCATTGCGCAGGCTGGAAAGGTAAAAGACCTTTCCCCAAATCTTCGTTCGCGAAGATGGGCCATTATTGTTGTGCGGGCTCTGTTTTGCTAAAATTAGTGAATATGGAGCAACAGCAGGTGCACTTGGAAATAAGGTAGTTGAATAGCACTTGTTTTTTTTCTTGGCAGACTGTTTTCAGGGAGGTTTTTAGATTTCTGAATGTCTTGGAGACATGTAAGGAATTGGTCTAGTGGTGTGTTCAATTATACATGTTGGTGCCTAACATGAGATGACTGTGGGGGCAACAAAAATCCCTACATAGCTGTAGTTACTGTAGTGTTGAAAAAAGGGGAAAAGAGTGGTGTGTGTTTGGGGGATAATGGCATCTCTGCATGTCAGGATCTCATTCTCACCTTCATATGTAAGATCAGGAAATGCAGTGCCCATTGTGGTGGGGCAGTAACTGATGGCTTAGGATCCTTTGGATTGCCTGAAACAAGCTGGTGCTGGCCCTGTGGGCACACTGCTGTGATTTGTAGTTTGTGTGAAGCAGGAAAAGATGAACCTCTCTTGGCATTTAGCTTTATTTTCTGAAGCACATGGTGTCAGGGCTTGCGTGACAGACCTTGGTTACCAGGACTGAGAAACGAGAGTGTCTGTTACAATTTGTACTCCTTAGTTTGAGAAACTTTACATTTCAAAATACAGGCTGATGCAGCATGGTCTGATGCTTTTATTGATTTATCCCAACATTCCTGTACTCAAGGAATGGCTGTGAGCTGGTGCCTTGCATGGTGTATTTCCTAGTAGGTGGTGTTTGAGTTCAGCAAGAAGAATGTCTGCTGTTTAAATATGTTTGTTTTTTTTCTTGTGGCCAAAAAAAGGACAAACACAAGCAAATTTTAAATGTGCAGGGTTTTTATTCAAGCAGGAAGATTTGCAGCGCCTTTAGGTGAGCGGTGCTACAGCCAACACAAAGGAAAGAGAATTGCCTCCTCCTTACACTAACACACAGTGGCTTCTCTCAACAGCTCCAGGTTAATTGATCTCCTTCATCAAATAAGGTGGATTCCTTAACTCATTGCAGTAGGTGGTCTCCTTGTGCTCTTACTCCAAAATATGCCCTGTGAGATTCTCTGTGAGGGAGACCCAGCCTTAGTCCTGTGGAGCTCTAACTGAGGACAATTGAAACTACCAGCAGTTTTTGGTCAATGGAAGGGTCGTTCCAAGAAGATGTGTAAGAAGTGGCCACAGCTGAACAGGCTGTGCATGCTGTCATTTTATTCTTCTGTTCCAACAAGTTCAATGGGGTTGCACAGGAGGAATCCCCTTTTCCCACTTTATCCTGGTCCAGCACTTCGCACCAGTTCCCTTTCTTTCCTTCCTTCAAGAACGTGTTTGTCATACCTGAGTTTTGTTTTTGTAGGGAAGCGCAGTTAGGAATTAGATGTGTCAGCCTAAGAACTATTTCTGTTCTTTTCCCTGTTTTAATCAGGATTCTCTGGGAATGCTGAAACCGAAAGACATGCCGCGTTTTATTCCCTGCCATCTTCGATAGAACGGACTCCCACCAAGTTAGCCACACAGAAAGTTGCCTTTGGCTCTCATGGAAATTCAGCCTTTCAACCCATTGCAGCTAGCTGTAAAATAGTGCCTCAAGGTCAGAGTCCAAGCCCTGCAGAGTCACCAGGAAAATCCTTCCAGCCTATCACCATGAGTTGCAAGATTGTATCAGGTGAATGTTAGTTTACTTCCCCGAGTGCTTTCCCCTGGAAAACAAGAGAGCGAACCAGTTGGACTTGTTTTGTGTCCTTCCCCTGATTTCCTGCCAATCTTTGAACATCAGGCAGTAGGAAACTCTAGAATAAGGAGCTAAACCTTTCTGAATGCTCAAGGAAAAAAATACAAGTATGAAATGTTAAACAACAGATAAAAAGCAGGATGAGAGCTGTTCTCTCCCTGTTTTTGAGTGCTTCTAAGTATGAAATAGATGGTCTTGAACTGGACTGCTACCCACCAAAAGGCCCAGGCAAGGACACATCTTCCATGTGTAGTATTTTTATGTAGGAAGAAGCCATTCTTCTCCCTCCTGCTTTCAGAAAGCTGGGACAGATTAACAAGAATTTTTTTTCCTGATTATTGGGCAAATAATTAGTTTCAACCTTGTAGACTCAAATAGCCCTCCTGTGCTTGCCATATCTCCTGAGATAGAGAAGCTTTGGTCTTCCTTTTCCAAAAGTCCACACTGTGTTGGATTAAATTGCCAGCTGACTGCAGGGAGCAATGTGACAGCTTCTGAACCAAACATGGTCAAGGTGCTGTTTTGCTCATTTCACCTGTGGTCCCTTCCCTGCCTGGTCGTGATGCCACCCACTGGATGATGTTTTACATCACAAAGTGTTAATGTGCAGGTCACCATGGCACTTGCTGTGAAGCCAAAAGATGACCTGTTGCATCTCTTCATTTTCTGATCTGCAGGGTAGAGAAGATGAAGTACCAGTTATCAGCATATGTGATTTCTGATGATCTGCTCCCAGATAATTTTCTTAAAGTTTGTCTGGTTTGTTTGCTTTTTTTTAACTAAATTTCAGTATTGTTCCTTGACATCTTAAAACTGTACTCAGGTTGATCTACATTTGAACCAATGCCAAGTGGTGCTTTCTTTCCTTATAAGCTCTTCTCTTGATCTTCTTTTCCCAAGGCTTCCCAGAAAGCAAGAATTGCAGGGGCCATCCTATCTTTCTTAAAATCCTTGGACTATTGTCTCTTGATCCTTGCTATTTAAATATTACTCTGCTGAATATTTTTCCAAGGTTCTACTGTCTGCTGAGAAGTGCTACCCCTTTCAGATTTTAAAACAATTTAGAAGACGTGGGAATTGTATTTGATGAGCATTTATGTTCTGTTTTAATTGTCAATCACTGCCAAGAAAGTAGATTAGGTGGTTGAAGCTTGGTGCTTGTTGCTGTCTCTATTCTCTGATCACTTCCTTGCCTGTCCTTTTCTCTGTATTTCTGGTTTACCCCTTCATGCAGCTTTTTTCCTCTCTAGTTTTTCTCTCTCCTAGTGCTGTTACCCAGAAATTGCACATTTTAGGGTTTGATTTCAAGGTTTTCTGCTGTAGTGAGAGCAGTGAAGGGACTAGAGTGCTCATGGCTGCCTGATGGCTGCTGTGTCACACAGCCTTTTGACCTGAACTGCTCAGTTCCCAAAAGGCTCTGAAGGCCTGTACCATGGGCTGCACAAGGGAAGGAGAGCTCAACTCTCTTCCTTCATCTCCTTGGGTGCACTGGTCTTGGCAGTGAGAATGATGTAGGTAATGTCCCTCGGGATTCAGGAATGGACCAGATGGCTTCTCAAGTTCCCTTGGAACCCTGCTTGTCCTGGTAGGCAGATCATATCCAGGGTAGGTATGAGCCACAGTGCTTTAGATGCCTTTTCCTTTCCTTCTGTCTCTTCTTTCCTTCTCCAAGTCCTGTGATCTTGCTCAGGCTGGGAAATGCATCCTCAAAAAATGTTCCTTTTCTAAGCCGTTTTACAAAGTACTACTATTGCTGTGTTTTTATGTCCTTACAACATTTACAAGCCAGAAGCATTGGACTTTTTTTCTTAAGGTTCTCCAATATCGACCCCTAGTCCATCTCCGCTACCTCGTACCCCAACGTCCACTCCGGTGCACATGAAGCAAGGCTCTGCTAGTTCAGTCATTAATAATCCTTATATTATTGTGGACAAGCCTGGACAGATGGTTGGAGCAACAGCCACAAGCACAGGTGTGTAGTGTGATCATAGAAGGCAGTGGCTCAGTCTTATGCACTCAAGTTTATTCTCCCTTTAAAATGATCAGTATAACGGCAGTATTTCAGCTTGTGAAGATGGAAAAGTACTCTCCAGAGAAAGAGGAAAGTGTGGTTGGTTTGCACAGCTGGCCTGTGTGACATGGTTAAGGATATCTCAGACTTGAGCATAACTTCCTTCAGGAAACAGCACAGTGTAAGGCCAAATAGAAAATCACAGACATCTCTTCAAAGAGAGCCTGTTCTTCACAGGCAAAAAGGAAAGAGGGGAAAGTGGTGTAGACAGTGGGGCACAGATTTCGACAGAAACGGCACAAAGGTGCTTGGATGACAACTGTATCATGGAGGTGGGCAAAAAGCATGGAGAGCTTGCAGTGCCTGGCAAGTTTTAGGTCCCAGTGTGGGGTGCAGTGGGTGTGTTGAAGTGCTTAAACCCCACTTACCAGGAGAACACCATGGCTGTTTGTTACTGCTCTCAGCTTTTATCTGGTTCAATTCCAGCCAGTTTGGATTCCTCTAACTGGATTCCCTCAGTGGTGAAAAAACCTGGGGTCAGGGGGAGGACTGAACTGCAGGACACAAGTGATGGACATCGGAGTCAATGGGTGATCTCTGTGTCAGGGCTGGAGGAAAGGTCCCTCTGAAGTCATTTATTTGTTGTGATTTTTGGCCAGGAACTGCTATTTTAAAACACGCTTGTTTGTGTATATGTGTGCTTGCCAGCATCTCAAAAGGATGCCCAGAGCCTTGTGAGGAAGTGCAGCATCCATGTAACACAAACTGTTTGCTGGGTGGGGTTGGAAAGCGTAGAAATTCTGCTTTTTAAAGTTCCACCTTTTATCTGAGGGAACACAGCTGTCATGTTCATTTTAACTTCATCACAGAGAAAATTGGTAGGGGGAGCATAGTCATAACTGGATTTTTAAAGTATGTTTTGTGGTGTTCTTGGTAATACTGAAGCTGTTTCACTTATAGGGTTTGATTAATTGGGGTTTTTTGGTTGGCTGGGGTGTTTCTGCCTTTTTTCTTTTCTGTTTCCTTACCTCCAACCTGACTGTGTACTCTGCCTAAGTGGTTTATCATGGTTTGGGTAACTTCTGAGCTCTTCTAGTAGAGGTTTGTACACAGAGGGTAACATCTGTAGATGCACCAGATGGTTTGGACATAAAAGTCTTGGTGCCATTAAAGGTGCAGTTTCCCACCACAGTAGTGTAATGTAAGTACAGACTGGCCTGCCAGTTTTCTTGTCAGAGAGCCTCATCACTAGACCCTGTGTGAGGGAGCAAGAGGATATGTGGAACTGGCTTTTTGGCAGCAGCAGCCAGGCTGGACTGAGTGTAGTGTGTTTTTCTCAGACAAAGTCACTGGGATGTTTCTGGTAAGACTGCAGATCATATTTAAAAAGAGGGGTGAGATCTTCATGCTCTATGAAAGCCAGCTTTCCCAAAGCCTGGATTTTCAGAAATGGCTGTTCATTTACTTCTAAACTTATAAGCAGGTTGTAGTAAAACTGTATGAGAGACTAATAATTGTTTTCTTGAGTGTAATGCATGCCTTTGGTGTCTCTCAAACAAACAAAACTAACAACCCAACCCAATAGCAGCAGTAACAAAACTGCTGAGCTGCAGTGTGGTGCACACACTCTGAAAATGCAGGGTAAGTTTACTACTGAACTCCTGTGCACCTTGGGAGTCAGGAGACTGCTGTGGCACATGTATCCATCTGTCAGTTTAGCAAGAGCAGTCTTCCACTGAGGACCCTATGCCTTCATTCCTAATTTCTGTTTCTTCCTTTATCCTACTCACTCTGTCCCTTCTGCTTGTTACTCCTCACTTTGTCTCCCTCCTTTTCTGGCCTTCCTTTCCCTTCCCACTCCAAGCCTTCCTCCGTGCCAGTGTCTAAGGCCAGTGTAGGTTCAGAGGGCTTCTGGACAGCAGAGGACTTTACATCTGCAGCAGCAAGTTCCGACTGGTGGCTCATTCACTGCCCTAATTTCACATATTTGCACCTGTAGCCAATATCCTCAGCCACCCAGGAGGGTGCCTGACCTTTTACTTGCATGACACAGAGCTCTGGGTGGAGAGTACCTTCTCTAGGGCATGGATTCTGCAGGTGGAAATGCGGTAGTGGATTTGTTTTGTGCCCGTGCTGGCTCCCACTGATGTACCTCCTGGACAATACAGTCGAAATGCAGTGCTGTGTTTCTTGCTAGAAGAGGTTTCATGTGTGCAGTGGCTCCACTCCCTGGCCCTCACCTGACATCTGCTTTATTTCCTGGTGCACAGGGAGCCCAACCAGCAAACTGAGCAGTGTCTGCCAGGCCTCTCACGGGACTGGATCTCCTGTGTCAAAGACCCATGGGAGCAGTTTTGTTACCTCAGCTGTCAAGGTAATGTTGTCATTAGGTGCATACTTCCCATTTAAAGTCCAGTTTCCTATTAAATAGGGCTTTTCAGCATCAGAAGTTCTGCATTTCAGGAAAGTTCCTTTGATTGTTATTTCATGTGAAGGTTTACTGTGTCTAACAGATGGAGCCATATGAGAACATGGTGGTTATACAAGATGATAGTGTCACTTTGTGCAGCTCTAATTAGACTTGCCTACATATCTGTTAAAGGCACTGCTCTTTTGCTTTTCTGCAAAGAAACCCATGGAGAGCATAGCTCCCAAAACATCTTATCTTTCAAAAAGGCTGTAGCTGACTTTGATCTTCTTCACTCGGTTAGTGACAGAGTGTGATTAAACCAGAGGTGCCTACCTCAAAACCTTCGTTCTGTTCATTTTTTTTGTGCAGCAGCTGCTCCTAGAAGCCTGAAAATAGCTCATTTGGTGGTTTTACAACTGCCTGCATTCAGACAAATGTTTGTGTAAACAGTGGAGTAACATTTGGATGTGTAAACAAACAGCGATAAATACAGTTCATGCTTCTGATCTGCAGAGCCCAAAAGGTACAGAGCTGAACTGTCTCACATAAAATCTCTCCCACATCTTGTGCTAGAATGATATTTCTGGCAGGGAAGTGGCGTCAGCAAGGCTCTGAAAGCAGCTGGTGGGTGTGCTGCTGAAAACAGGAGCGTTTCCCTGTCTCCAAGCCACAATATTAATGCAGGGTGTGGTGGGAGGAAGGTTTGCCAGTCAGTCTGCAGAGAGCAAATCACTGTCCTTTGGAACTGAGATTCTTCCAATGTCTGTTAGGGAAAAAGACAATTGTTGTCTGGAGCAGTTTGTTTGCAGTAGCATTTTAAGTGTCAGGTGTGCAGGCAGCTTAGTCAGCTTTTAAAAGTCTGTCTGCTCAGATGGATTTCACTTAACTGCGTTGAAAATCATTCACTGGTCTTTATTTTTCACTGATTTGGGACAGTTCTTTCTGAAAGGTTTTCAGTGAGTCAAAGTAGGCACATGTTATTAGTAACACTTGAATTCTGTATTTCCAGGACAAAGTCAAAACCTTTATTTAATATATTTAAATATTTAAATTAATTACATTATTAATAAATTATATATAGTAAATAAATGATAAATTAAGATAAAATTAATATATTTAAATATTAAATATTTTTAAAAATACATTAAAACCATACTTCTGTAAACCAAAATACATTCCTGTTTGTCTTCTGGTGGGTGAAAAGCTGTAATTTTATGGTTTCTTTAAAGGGCTACATTTCTTCATCCACTCTAAAATGCCCAGTATGCAGCTGCTGTTGGGAGGACTGGTTATGCCTCTAGCCTTGTCTTCACACCTCCCTCTGTTTGCTACCAATTGTGCACAACTGGTAGCAAATGGGGATGTGGTGAACCAGAGCAGACAAACAATCTGCTTGAAAACTAATGTGTTTTCAGCCACGTGTGTCAGTACAAGGAAGATGTCAAGAGTATTAGATTGGAGTCTGAGGGCTTGATTTCTGATCATGGTCCAACCCAAGGATGGGCCAAATGATTGTGAAACCATGGCTTTTGAGTTCACATTGGTTGTAAAAGAGAACAATTATACTGTAACAAACTTCCTCTAATGCATTTGACTTCTCTACCAGCCTCAGATCCAGAAGTGCCACGTGCATGATTTTGCAGGTGTGGAAATGTTTTAGTTTGTTGTTGGTTTTTTTTACTCTATTTAGTTACACAACTTTGTAGTCTCCAGGAGAGCTCTACCTGGAAAGACCACGTGCCATTGCATCGTTCCAGTTAGAGGAGAGCATAAATTCATCTGAGAAAATATTTTTCCCCTCCATAACTTGTTTCTTCTTTCATTGTCTTCCCTCTCTGAGGTTGTGTATGGAATCACAGAACAACTGGGGTTGGCAGGGATCTCTGGAGACCATCCAGTCCAAGTCCAAAGGAGTGTCAAATAGAGCAGGTTGCTTGAGAACGTGTCCAGTTGGGTTTTGAGTATCTCCAGGGCTGGAGAGTCCACAGCCTCTCTGGGTAGCCTGTTATTTTGTTTGATCACCATCAACAACAACAACAATGTTTTTCTTATAATGTCCTGTATTTCAATTTGTGCCCATTGACTCAGTCCTTTCACAGGATACCACTGAGTGTTGATTGACTTGACCTTCATTACACCTTCTCATCTGGTATTTATATGCATTGTAAAGATCCCCCCTAAACCTACTGTAATTTTACATAAAATGTATTAAAAGCTGATCTGAAAACAAGTATAGTCCTTTTGCCTGTGTGTGATATGGTAAGAAACAGTTACTGATGTTGGAGATGTAACTTTCCAAATAAAACTTGCTTTGTAGGTTGTGTTAAGTAAATTAGACTCCTTTTACTTAAGTGTTGACTGATTTTGGAAATATCTGATTTGCACAGGTAATTTGGCCTACCTATATGGTCCATGCTGCCCTTTATTAGCAGTCAGTTGTTTTATTTCTTGTATTCCACTGATTTTTGCACCATGTCTTCCTATTCACAGCAGGAGGATTCTCTTTTTGCCACGATGCCACCTCTTTGTCCCATTGGGAGTCATTCCAAGGTGCAAAGCCCCAAATCAGTCACTGGAGGACTTGGAGCTTTTACAAAGGTATTTCTCCTGGCTTTTGTGCTGGGACAAGGAGCCCAATAGTGTCATTTCATGCCTGACTTGTGCCACTAACCATGTAACTCCAGTGCCTGTAGAACTTACTGGAACCAATGTGTCTTGCTGACGAGAGCTCTAGCACCTCTCAGAAATGTGTCTTGTATTCTTTTCTTTCCCTGTGACTCTGCTGTACCTGTGATCTTTCCTTTTATTGCCTCTTTCATCTTGTCTGTTTTTCCTTTGAATTGCTGTTGTATTGAGGCTGATATTTTAAAAGCTGTTTTGGTAGGATATGGTAAAAGTAAACTATAGTAGATCTGTCAGAAGCTTCTTAAAAAATAGTACAGTGATTTCTATATCTCAGACATTGCCACTTCTGATTATGTTTCCTTAAATGCTACTCTCTAGAATTTAAAGTTGTTTCTGGCAATATTAGGTGATCCAAGTAAAAGGTGGAAGAATGTTTCCTACCAGTTACAGTACCTGCAGCAATCTAACACAAACCTCTCCCCCCAAACATCCTTATTTCAGTTGCTGCCCTTAGGGATTAGATGTAGGTCCTATCCCAGAGAAACATAAAACACATACACAAGAGAATAATGTCAGCTGTAATGATTTACAATACCTATAGCTATTATATCAGTTGTAATTTTGCAGGATAGAAATAAAAAATTCAGGTTCAGAACATGCTCCGAACAGGAAGTTGCTTATAAATTTGAAAGTTTAATGTGGTGTTGTTTCATGCTGAGATGCAGGATCTGAAGAAGTCAGGTCTGGCCAAGTCCCTTGTCAGTATGACTAGTAGTTGTAATATTACTAGCAATTCCCTGATTTCTATGAGCATGTCTCAAATATGGGATGCTTTGTAAGTACAGACACCACCCCACACGCTTGTGTGTTGGGAGCAACCCTGAGTTAGAGTCTGTGTGGTGGTGAGAACCATGACTGTTGCCTGCCCTTCCCTGCTGACAGGCTGTCCCTGATTTAAGGTGTTTGCTTTTCTTACTGCTATTCCCTCCTGTTTTCCAGGTGATAATAAAGCAGGAGCCAGGAGAGCTGCCGCAGCAGCCGCAGGTCCCGGGGACGGGCGCGGCGCAGCCCTCGGTGCCGCAGTACGTCACAGTCAAGGGCAGCCACATGCTGGCCCTGTCTCCACAGAAGCCAGTCGTGAGCACGGGTGAGGGGACAGTACAGTCTAAGGTATGAGGCACTTGGGCATCTCTGGAGTGATGTAAGCTCTCTGTCTTGTGGTTTTATTGCAACACTTGGTGCTTCTCCCAGGGGGTTCGGGTTGCTTCTTTTGGCAGCACCGTCGTTTCCCTGTGTGCACAGAGTGGCTGGTATTGTACTTCCATGTAGTTCTTGGGAAGGGAGCAGGCTGGGCCTGCACTATTGCATTTTGTTGTGTACAGGGACATCTCCTGCTTCTGTCTAACCCACTGCAACAGTGTGGCAGAGGTGCTTTTGAACTGTCAGCCCAGAAAGCTGACTTCCATCATCAGCTCTTGCTGAAACTCATCCAGGTCTTTTTGGAAGAGAAGGTCAATTCTCTTTCGTAGGAATGCAGGCCTGCAACACAAGAGAACAGGACAAATAGGAAGCAAGGTGAAGACTGAGCCAGAACTAGCACTAGGTGAAATGGGTCCTACTTGAGAGGCAACTCAAGTGTTTTATTGTAGGAGTCGTGCCAGTGCAGTCCTGCTATGTCAGGAGTGACACATCTTCTGAGAAGGCTCACTGCAGTGACAAGATGACACATGTGTCAGAAATTGTCTCTATTCTTGCCTGCTTCCATTGTGGATAGAGTCAAATGATGTGCCAAGAATGAAAGATTACATACAGAACTTTCACGTTTGCATAAGTAAATACTTATTTGCATTTGCAACAGTTCATTGTCCTTTTTACTGCCTTATTTGCCTGTTTGAGCAGGTATGCAAACTCATGTTTCCCTGCAGTTACTGTCAACACATAAAATTGAAGCACTTTGTGGATTTTGCTTTGAGGCCTTACTTTTCCCAAGGAATCTGTTCCCATGAACGTGTTGAAACTGAATTTCTACATCTCTGTAATTTGCCAAGGCAAGCTGGAACTAAGCCATTCCTTATGTATCAGAAAAAAAGGAAGTCCCCTGTAATTTGAATGAACTTAATCTTTTGCGGGTGCTCTGAAATCCTGATTGTGTGTAAAGAGTTTATCGTTTTACTTGGGATTGGCCTCTTGCCGATTTAATTTTGTTTCTGAATGAAGCGCTTCTGTGCGTGACCAGACATGTATGGAGTGTCCTGAAATATCTGGAGACAAGGTCGTGCACCAGGATTCACATGCCAGCAGCACGTCATCCAACCCTTATTTGTTGCAGGTGGTTGGTGTCCCGGTTGGTTCTGCGTTACAGTCGACGGTGAAACAAGCGGTGGCTATAAGTGGTGGCCAGATCCTTGTGGCAAAGTCTGGCTCTTCAGTAGCAAAGGCTGTTGGTTCGAAGCAGGTTGTGACTCAAGGTGTAGCCAAAGCCATCGTGAGTGGAGGTGGAGGGACTATTGTTGCTCAGCCTGTGCAGACTATAACAAAGGCACAGGTTTCTTCCACAGGTGCTCAGAAAAGTACATCTCAAGGCTCAGGTAGAGTAATTTTACTCCTTTTAATAGCTCATGATGGGTAGGCTTTGAGGGTCTGTAATGATTTATTCAGCTGGAACATAACTATGTGTGGTTGAAAAACTTCAAAATGAGTAGAGAGCTCTGTAGGAAAGTTCAGGCTGACTGAGATTAAAGAAAATGTTAACTTATTATCTGTAGTAGGGAAGAGGGAGCACAAGTGCTTTAAAACATGCAGTGCTCTGTGAGTGGAGATCAGATAGATACGCTGGGCAATGTGCTGGAGACCTGGTAGACTTTCATGGAGCCAGATCTTACATTTTTGCCTGGCATTATGGTCCTTAGCTGCTCAAAGGGTTCCCCATAAATCCAACCAACAAGAGCCAGACTGTCCCTATTGCATTTTCACGTCCAACCCAGTGCTTACAGGTACAGGAGTATGGGAGAAGCACCCTGCCTGTGTCTGCACACAGCTGGCTCTAGCTGAGCACGCCAGCTGGGGCTCTGGACTGTCAGAGAGGTGCTGTGTGGTGCCTGGGGCTGGAGGAAGCCTGTAGACCCCATGGCTGTGCTGCTTTGGCCTGCAGCCATAAGTGGCACTGCACACAGAGAGATTTTTTTCCAGACCTATTAAAAAAACTCTCTGTGCATCAGTGGTGGAGTTAATCTGAGGTTAAGCCAGCTAAATAGGGATTATCGAAGCCTAGCTGCATGTCACTCCCAGTACTTTCATCCTGTGCAGATTTCAGTGCTTCCTACTTTCTGCAAGCAGCAGTTTTATTTCTTTTATTCTTTTTTTCTAGTGATGGCTACACTGCAGTTACCAGCCACCAACCTGGCAAACTTGGCAAACTTACCACCAGGCACCAAGCTGTATCTCACCACCAACAGCAAGAATCCTTCTGGGAAAGGAAAACTGCTTCTGATACCCCAAGGAGCCATCCTGCGAGCCACAAATAATGCTAGTTAGTCTTGCAGGGAAATTTAATGAGTTAAATAATGTAATCACTGCATAATTAATATGTTTGGCATTTTTGCTATGAAGCATCCTGGTGCTGTGGAAGTCAGTAATGAGATGGGGTTTCTTTGTTCATGACAACCCATATGAGGTGCTTTTTAAGGCTGAGATCTCACGAGTGGCTTTAGTTTTCAATGAAGCTGCTTTTCATGCTGTGCTCTCAATGCAGAAACATTTTTTTTGTTAATAGGCTTGTGAAACAAACTCTCTGTGAAATACTTGGAGAAAAACATGCTAAGATAGTTCTAAGGGGCAGTGCTTTGTTTATAATGTGCTGTTGCTGTAGGGAAGGAAAGCTTCAGGCTTTGGACTCTGTAGATGAAAAGATTGGTCATGAACCTTCTCCTCAATGCCATTCTTGAGACTGGGTTTGGGATGAGAGATGGATTGGGTGTAAACTTTTTGCTCCCAGCTCTGATTTGGCCTCCCTGAAGTATTGTTCAGTTTAATATATATCAGCAACCCAGCAGTAGAGTACATGGCACTGAAGAAGCAGATACTCTTGCTGAAGGTATTTTTGGGCTTGCGGTGGGAGCCTCTTTGGTTGAGATTTAGAGAGGCAGCTGGGTCAGTCCAGCTTTGAAAATCTCACAAGCATTGAGGAAGATCATATACTTGTGATTTTTGTGACAGAGCCATGAGTATTTTTTTTAGCCTTATTTCTTAATTAGAGACTGCAGAAAAGTCACTGTTCAGCTTGTTCCTTCTGGAGGCACAGCAATATCAAAGTGCCACTGCAAATTACTGCTTGGTATCCATTATTCTATTAACAAAATTGCATTGAAACAGCCAGTGAAATTAAAATTAAGAAGCCAGTGGGATTCAGAATATTTTTAGGGCTTTTGCTGCAGATTCATAACCTGCAAAAGAGTGATGAAAAGTCTGGTTATCTGTTGGACAGTGTTTTCATTTGATAAAGTTTGCTTGCCCACCAGCCCTCCTTATTCCCCTCATAGCTCCTTTTATTCATAGTGTTTGCTGAGCTGTAAGAGAGCACAGCAGCACATCTAAACTGTTCTGTACTGAGTAATAATGTTCCTTGGCTGCAAAACGTGGCACCAAATGTCTTGCCAAGTGTTTTCAAGTATTGTGTGTACAGGGATGCTTTAGCAGCTGACACTGTCTGATTACCAAAGGGTCAAGCCTTTTCCTCTGGTTACAGGTCTTCAGTCTGGATCTTCTACAAGTAGTGGAGGAGGAGGAGGAGGAACCCAAAGCACAAGCAGTAACCTGTCACAGCACCTCACCTATACATCCTACATCCTGAAGCAGACACCCCAGGTCAGTGGCATAAGCATTTCAGTTGAAGGACATTGACTGCAGTGGTGGATGTCCTGTGGTTCTTTAGTGCACAAAACATTCTTGGACTGTAGTGTCTAGATCCTGTTTACCTTTTCTCCCCATCTGCTTCCATCAGAAATTGTTCTGTAGCAAGAAGATTGTGTCCAGCTCATAGTGCAGAAGCATCCACTGTATTTAACAGTACCTTGCTTCAGAAGATGAAATGTTGTTGCATTATATCCACAGGCTTTTATCCTGTTTCTGTTGACTCTTAAGTGAGTTTCAAAGTGCTGACCTCCCTAACTTATTTTCTGGATCAGGGCACCTTTCTGGTTGGCCAGCCTTCGCCTCAGAGTTCTGGGAAGCAGCTCACTCCAGCATCAGTTGTTCAGGGCAGTGTAGGAGTTGGAGCATCTTCCACACAAGGACAAGCCCTAAAAGTGATAACTGGACAGAAAACAGCTCTGTTTACACAGGTAATGTGCAAATGATGTGGTTCTCACCAGTTACTGTTTTGTCAGATAAAGTATAGGAACCACAGGCCACACACTGAGAGCTTTTCCTTTCATAGTTGCTTGGTTTGATGTGCTTTTTTGTACAATTATGATGCTGGCTGTCCTATGATGAGGAAAGCTTATCATACTACAGATTTCCAGCTTGCTTTCTCTTCTCAGAGGGGGTCAGCTGCCAAGCGGTGTAAGCTTAGTTTGTAAATGAGCTCTGGGATTTCTCAGTGAAATGGAATTGGAAAACTGAATAGTGGCAGGTGCAAAAATATGTCTAAATATTTGAACCCTAGAAATGGATCACCTGCTAAAGCTGTTAAAATCTTTGGGTTTAGTATCCCTTTTTTAAAAAAAACTACCTTTCCTTTTCCTTCTTCTAAAAACTACCATATAGTCCCTATGAAATTCAAACTCCCCAAGAGTAGCTGTAATTGATTATCCAAAATTCAGGATTGATAGGCATATATTTGCAAAGTCAACAGTTTGATAAAGTTGATTTCTGAGGTGATAATTTTGTTCCAGCTATTATTGCCAGAATTTGATTTTTCCAAAAGTATTTTGAAAATATTTGGTAGTAATATAAAAAGCATTTTGTTTTGTTGTTGTTACCTTTTGGGTTGGTTTTTAAAGTCATTTAAAACCCGAACAAATAGACCTTTTTCCTTACTCTGCATTGTTTCTCAAAGGCTTCATCCAGTGGACAGACATCACTGGTGAAAATATCAGATGGGTCTATAAAATCAGTGCCTGCCTCATCCCAGCTCTCCAAACCTGGCACCACTGTGCTGAGAGTATCAGGAGGTGTTATCACCACAACTGCTGCTCCTGCCGTGGCCCTTCCCACAAATGGTGTCACCCAGGTGAGAAACAACCTTGCAGTATTCTGTAATGCAGTGTTTGTACTCCAGCCACTACAATCCCAGGAAAGGACTTGGACTGCTTTTTTCCGCTGTTGGTGTCCTTCCCGGTCAGCTTTCTGGTGGGTCTGCTCCTATTTGTAGTAACCAGACTACAAATACTCCTGAGATTACAGCTCCTCCACAGTGCTTTCAGAGGTTTCAGAGGCCAGCAGCAGCCCAAGTTTGTACTCCCTGGTCCTGGCTTTGTTCAGAGGATGTCACTGCTTTCCACCACAGGGGAGCTGTAGCACTGCAGCCTTGGAAGGAGGTGGTTTGGCATAGAGGGAGGTGGGAAGCAAAACATTTGTGTTCCTGGAGTGAATGCTCCTGTGTGTGGATGGAGCCACGTATCCAGTTGATGCAGGTTGTCCACCTGGAGTGGAGTTGCAGTTCACGGGGTGGGGAGGAGACAGCAAAACAAAGTAATTCCCTCTGAGGGTTCCCCAAGCCTACTTCTTTCCATTAGCCCCTAATCTTTGCTTCCCCCCTGCTATTACCTGTGGGGAGGCAAAGATTAAACAAGTGGAGATTTGACACCATGCTGTCACAGCCTCCATTCCGTATGTGCCATCATTGTGTGTGGGCTTTTGGACATGAACTTGAGAACCTCTTGCTTCTCAGTGAATGGTAGATAAATACTTGGGTTTGCTACTTCTAGATATTACCTCATTGTGTTTATTGTTGAATCATCTATGACATGAAAAGGAATTTGTTATCCCTCCTTGCCTCTTATGCAGCAAACAGATAATGCAGGTTCCAGTTCATCATCTCCTGGAACTCCTGCAACAAAGACATCTGGACAGCAACACCAAATCTGTGTAAGCCAGAGCCAGTCTACTTCATCAGTAGTGAATAAGACTTCGACTTCCACTGTTGTAAGTGTTGCTTCTTTGATGACTACGGCAACGCCTGTGACTGGAAAAGCTACAGTATCAGGTACTAAACTTCTTTTCCCAGAGAAAGTTAGGACCCAGGTGTGAGTTCTTTAGATGTCTTCACTATAAGTGGAAGAATATAGTCACCTGCATTTGTGACTGTGTAAAAGTAAAGTCATGCTTTCTAAAACATCTTACTAGCATAACTTTTGGCTTAGCCAATGAAATGTCTAATTAATTTGGCACCCTTTTGGCATTGACTGTATCTGTTACAAGTATTAGCACAGGTTGCCCTTTGGTATTGGAAAGGGATTTTAGTTTTCCTTCCAAGGTTCCCACTGTGTGCCTGTTCAGGAGCACAATGTGTCACTGAATGTGGAAACTATCAAGATACCAGCACTACTACAGACTTGATTAGTTTGTGAAAGTGAAACTCCACTGTACTCAGAGAACTTGCATGAGCAGAATTTGTCTCTGAGGCTTTGCATCACTCTATTTCGCTTGGAAAGGAGAGAGATGTTGATTAGAGGGAACTGAAGGCTTTGAAGTCAAAATCCATTAAGTACAGTGAAGTAAACTGGATCTGGGATGTTTCGAGGTAATAAAGATGGACTTGCCCTTATGTGAAGGGCAGTTCTCCTTATTCAGTTTTATTGTATTCCAGTATCTTTTGTGTGAGGGAGAGTAAATACAGCACGTTTGAGTGTTATGGGTTAAAATTGGAAATTTTCATTTAGATTAATTCACCCGCTGGCATGTTCTGTTCACTTGAAATGGTTTTTTGTGAAGTGAAAGCAGAGTAAAAATACAGAAAAGAGAAAATAAGTGACACTGAGCTCATCTGACAGCGTCTTTTTGAAGCAGCTCTTCTTGTTTCATCTGTACTCAGTCTTCCAAAGTTCTCCTTTTTTATGACTGTGTTTTACACAGAGCTTGAAAATAAACAGCATAGACTGCTAAGACTGACACAATCCTGCAAGAAGCAGTTGAGTATTTTTCTCTCTGCAAAGAAAGCCGCAAGGGTGTCTTTTTTTCTTTTTTTTTTAGTAGGAAATACGCCTCAATAAATAGCTTTCAGATTAAATTCCCATTTAGGTGTGAGAATGCCATCTAGATTTGGGTTTGGTTTAGGTTTTTTTGTAACCTGAGGCACTGACTTCATCATGGAAAAACTCCTTCAAGAAGCGCAGAAGAACCAGTGGCTATAAAATGTGTTATTTCAATGTATTAACAAACAAACAAAACCCCCAAACAAAACTGTGTTAAAATTCTGAACGTTGATGTTTTTAAAGGTAACTTTTTTAAAAGAATCTCAAATATTCCCTTGTTTTGCAACAAGCAGTCTCTCACCCATCAGGCTGATAGTTCAAAAGGTCCCTTCTCACTGGCCTTGCTGTTGGGTCCCTTGCCATCTAACCTGACACATCAGTATGTCACACACGAAGGAATGGGTAATACCAGGTGAACCTTCTTGCCTGGAGGTGAAAGCCTAACTTACCAGTGCTGGGCATCTTTTAAAACCAGGAGACATCTTCACCAGACCTTGCATATCTAGTACTTGGAAGGCAGCTATGTTTCTTAAACAATAATAAAAAAATATAAAGAGAAAGGAACTTCATCTCATAACAAATCATGAGTATAAAATTGCCATCATGAAGCTAAGGAATCCATTGTTGTTAATGTTTTAAAATAAAAAGCTATGAACTTCCACAATCTGAAGAAAAGTTAGCTATAGATTGAATACAATTACATGGAAAATAGCTGGTTAACCAGTAAAAAGGATGGACATAGGCCCAAATCACAGAGTTAATGTTGGCTGTGGTGGCTTGGGATGTCATCAAAGGAGATGACGCGTTGTGGAGGAGAGAGAGCTGACAGGTGCTGGGTACTCCTCACCCATGGGACTGTGGCACCACTTGGAGCTGTGCTGATTTCCACCCAAGTTATAGAGTGCTGCCATTGATAATGCTGTTAATATCTGGATGTTCTGCTTGTTCTTTTGGCCTTGACTTAAATCAGGGATTTAGTTCAGTCCCCACTTTAATGTACTTCCTAGCCTGATAAGCCATCCTTGTGGATGTATTCAGTGCATGTTAGAGAAAGACACTGAACACTCAGTTCAGGTACATCCTTCGTCAGACTTGCTGTACAGCAGCCTTGGGCTTGTCACTTAGTTGGAACACGGTTGACTGTGCCTTGCTGACTGCAGTGGATGCTGCAGCACTGGGACACCTCCATGGGAGTGGCTGTGTGAGTACAACAGAGCTGTAGTTCACTGGCTTACCAGACCCTTGAGCACAAGGTCTGGTTCTGACAAGAGTGTTTTACTCTGTGCCGAGCCTGCTTCAGTGGAAAGGTTTGTGTTACATCAATTTTGCTTAAGATTCCTTAGGCAATTAGGAAACTTGCTTTACAACTGTCAGAGTGCTGTGCAGCATGTAATACTGTGCACACTGTGGTGCAGCACTCCAGTGTTTCAGCCATCATTTGTGTCAGTAAAAACTTGTCCTGACAGTTCACGGAACTGCGGCTTGTTAAGAGGATGGCAGTGCTTGCTTACATGCCATCCTGGCTCAAGCAGAAAGGGAGAGAAGTAGCTGGAGATAAACTAACTGGTGTGTTTTATTTAACATTTTGTCTTCCGTTCTTCTTGCAGGGTTGCTAAAAATCCACTCAAATCAGTCTAGTCCACAGCAGGCTGTTCTGACAGTTCCCAGCCAGCTTAAACAGCTCGGTGTAAACACAGCTTCTGGAGGTGTTCAGACAATACTCATGCCTATGAACAAAGGTAAAGGGCAGAGGAGGATGACAGATGGTGTTTGAAAATCCCTTTGACACAGAATAGCACTTGGTCACTGTTGGAATACATGGTCCAAAGTAGAGATAGAAGAAAATGTAGCAAGGAATTCATCCCTAAACTTTGTGCTGCAGAAACATTGTGTTGCTTCTGAACATGGTTATTTGTCAAAGTGTATGAAATGTGATTTTTTTTTTCTTCTTTGTTGCCCCCTTGTTTTTTTTTTATCTCCAGTTTTACAGTCACTTTCTACCAGCAAAGTTTCAGCAGTTTCAGCTGTTACAGCAGCAAGTATGACTACCCCTAGTCCCTCTACAGTATCCATCACCAAAGGTAACAAGGAATTTCTCAGTAAGATGAGTAGTAGAAATAAGCTGGTGCTGCTTTATGCAAGTGGCCTGACTATGAAAGTAGACTCTGACTGTGGGTTCCTTTATTTCTATTATTAATAGGGTTTAAATCAAGTTAAAATGGCACCTGGGGACTAGGAAATCACATTGATTTCCCCCTCAACAAGTGCCAAAGCATAGACAAGTACGGAGAGAAATGGGGATGTCCTAGAAAGCTACCATGAGTACCTTAAACACTCCTAGTTTCAATCCGTATTTGCAGAACTGCATAGAGCAGCAAGCGTTCAGTCACTAACAAGTTCCCTAACTTCCTCAGACAGTGACTGTGGTGGCTGTGCTGGAGGTTGTTCTCCAGCAGCACTAGATGCAGACAGCATGTGTCTGTGTGCACAGAGGGGGAAGATGTACATTCAGTACCTCCCAGAATAAAGCGTGGGGCAGAGCTGAGACACTTGGAGGCCAGTTCTTGCAGAACTGTCCTGTGTCTCTCCATCCCAGGAGCATGACCAGACTGTCTGGGTGTTCTGGGTTGGGCACGTCTCTTGCTTCTGTCTCGCCAGAGTTCTGTCCCAGACGTGAGAAAGTTCAGATGTCAGAATCAGTGATGTCTTCAAAAAAGTTATTGCTTTGAGATGTCACTTCTGGCTAAAACTTAGTACCTTTCTATCCAGCTCTTTGTTTACAAAATGGCCAAGTACATTTGCAGCAGTTCAGTTTAGATCAGGCAGTCATATGCAAAACAGCAGCAATTGGTTATGCAGATTTTCTTAAAAGGATGAGATGTGAGCATGTTGAGATTTGGGGGAGGGGGAGGAACATGTTGTGGTGGCTCTCTTTCAGGAGAATTGAAGGTCAAATTTGTTCATGCTTCGCAATCAGGATGCAAACAACAAAGGAAGTGATGTTATGTAAGACCCTTAGTCTTCCTGGAGTCTCACAAGACACTGTTTATCAAGCTGGCTGGTACTTTTTGTCTTCAAATGTGTTATGTTTCTTTGAAGTTAAGATGGAGCCTGATTCAACTGGACAGAACTGCAGTTCTGTGGGTACCCAAGACAGCCAAGCAGCAGTGAAAACAGAAGAGAGCTCTGAACTTGGGAATTACGTTATCAAGTAATTGTTCATTTCTCTGTAAGGATTTCTGATCTTTGAAATACCAGGGGAATGGAGATGGTTCTAGGGACGCATACAGCGTGTTACTTTTGACTTAGAAATACGTCATCAAATCTTCTATCGCATACACTGCTGTAACAGTGCCAATCCTGTTGGGTGGCATTTGTTTCAGACTGTTGCAATATTTTTTTTGTAAATGGATTTCTATGCAAGGCTCATGAAAGGGGAAAAATTGAGTATTTGCAGTTGTTTTGGGCTTTGCTAAAATCACAAGCTGCTAAAACCTCTTTATCATCCTCTGGATGATAATTCCCATTGCTATTGTGTGTCCTTAGTAAGATTGAACTGCCCAGTGACATGCAGGTCAAAAAAGGGGCATCTGAAATAAATAGAACTGTCTATTTTCTGGTCTCTCTGGTCTTGTTAAGGTCATGTACTTCTGTAATTACTTAGCATGAGGGCTGCCTTGCTTCAGAATTGGAATTAAATAATAATGAGCATTTATTCACTGGATGCTGTGAAAGTGCTTATTAGTGGTTTTTTGCCAGAACTCAGCCTGCAGAATTTTCTCTGCATATTTCCTGCAGTGTGTAGGATGTTCCTTCTGCTCTTGATGCCTCCAGTGGCTGACTTTCCTGTCTCCGTGTTTTGAAGTTTTGTTATCCCGACATATCCCTGCAGACATTACCCTGATGGAGAGTATGTGTAGGAGAGAGGAATAAATCTTAAGTCACTACACACTGGAGATTATCTTAGTTAAAAAATAGCTATTGGAAAATACAGCTCCTGACAGCTAAATAGAGTACGTCTGGTTAAGTAAACTCCCGTAAGTACTAAGTGTCCCATGGAGTATCCCATGTTCCTACTGGGACAGCCTGCACTGGTAGGTGCATCTTATCCCTTAAAGTAGTGTTGCAGCTTGCACTTGATGTAGGGATTTCTTCCAAGCCTATTTTCAGTCTCTTCTGCTTGAAAATGTAGCTTCAGATGTGGACGCTTTTTGGCAAGAGAAAGGGCTGTTTGAAATACTTTCTCTGGATTGGGGCATAACAGTTTATCCTCATACTGCTATTTGTAATGTCTTGGGGCTAAAGACTTTAAACCATGCAGTGATTTTGAAACCTTTTGCAGCTGATTCATTGCTTCCAACAGTCTTCATTGTGATTCGTTTTATCCCTTGCAGCATAGAATATTTGGAGAACGTCCAGCAGCTTTTAACAGCAATAGTGAAGAAGGTCCCATTAATTGCTGAAAAAAGTAAGCAGTAAATGAAAAGACTTTGCTTCTTATTTTCAGTGTATCAACAGAATGCCTTGCATACTCTGCAGCCACAGAAGTTATTAAAAGGTGGAATGAAATGAAGCCATCCTCCCAGAGAGCTTTCTCCAGGGGTTATTCTAAAGATGCTTAGAATTAGGTTCTTCCAGTAAAGCCAAATACGTTGTTATCAGCCGTTAATAACTTGCATCTGGTTTTTGGTTACAAATAGATTGTATTTCTTCATATAATGGCTGCAAGTAGGTCTTCTTTTCCCTGGTTTGTCCTTAATGGATGTGCTTTTCTCTTCTTCCCTTTTTTCTTTTTTTTTTTTTCTTTTTTAAATATAATACCAGGATTTTAGAGTGCTTACAAGTACAATAACAGGTCAACACTGTAATGTGTTTGTTATTGGGGGTTTTGGTTTTTTCTAAACAAAAGGTGGTGATCTGCAGAGAAACATTTTATTTGTATATGGTACTTTATTATTTCATACCTCTTGCTCATGCACTTAACTGAAAATGTATCCACTTTCTCTGGTAACTAATGCACTTTTGAACACGTGGTCCTAGAGGCTGGGTGGGGCAGACCCTCTCAAGCACAGGCAGCAGAGTAGGAGTGGGAGGCACAGTAAAGCTTCCATTACATACAGCTCTCATGCTTTTCCCAGAAAACCTTTTCACTCTTGTTTTATTTTTACGTTGTAATTTGTTTGGGGGGGAAAAAAAGTTTTCCAAAGGAAGAGATTTTGCTCAGTAAGACAGACTTACAGGTCTACATCATACAGTTTTTGAGTGAAGAACAGGTGTTTCTGTATATGACCAAGACGGATGCTGGTTTTGCATCCAGACACCACAGTGTCAGTCCCTCTTGGAGAAAGCACAGTATTTGTAAGAATTAGTTAGTCATTGAGCCTGTGAGCATGATACACATTTCCCTCTTCCTTTCTGCTAAATAACATCAAACCCAGAATCCATCTTGCTTACTAAAACCTTGTTCAGTTTTTGACTTTGTGTTTTTTAGGTGAGGACGTAAGCTCTTTTTGTGCCAGTTCAGTGGAACAGTATTACAGCTGGAATATTGGGAAGAGGAGGGCAGCCGAGGTAATCCTCTCCTGTGTTTCATAAGCAATCATTAGGAATACAAGAAGGATTTCTGAATTATAGAGCCTGCCTTCTTGTTGGCTGATTTGTTTTCTGAATCAGTCTGTTCTTTTAAATGGCAGCATTCCTTACGGCAAGACACACTGACTTATGTTCAGGTAGTGATCCTGTTTATTGTTCAGAGGCTTTCTGAACCAGAAGGGATTCTGAAGGTTATTTTTCGGGTTATTCAAAATCAGATGGTTTTGAAACATTTTAAAACTCAAAATTTTTGCCAATTGTCCTGTTAGCACTTTATCCTCATCACTCCTCCGTGGCATATTACAGTCATGGCAATTTTATAAGACTTTGTCTACCTTTTTATGGGATTGTGTCTGCTTTCTGTAGGAAGAGAATCGAGGGATCTGCTGTAAACAGTGCTAGTGCTGAAGTAGATTGTCAGTTCACCAAAGATAAATATTTCAGTTAACCTGGACCTGTTTGTATTGTGGTTATGCTTCTCCCTATTTCTTTATAACTTTGCCATCTTGTGTAGTTTTACAGGGAAGATGTTAACATTGATTAGATCTTTTGCTGTTGCCAATGATTGCAGAGTTTAATCAGATTTTAAGAAGCATATTTGCTCTAGTGGATTTCTTGCACTATGCCATCTTAGGTGTTACTTGGGAGATGAGACATTTCAAGTCAAGACAAATTTGTCTAGGGCCCTGTAAATGCATGTCCCTTTTCTTGAGACTTACTTTGGATGATAAAGCAAAGTTTAAATGACCTGTCAGAAGTCATTCTGACTTCTGAGAAAATCATGTTCCTTTTTTCTCCTTGCAACCTGGATTATTGTTCTGGGCTGTAGCCTAACCTTAAATGTTTTAGCCAGTGTGATGAGCTTTCCCTTTGGTTTGTCACAGTGGCAGCGAGCAATGACAGTGAGAAAGATCCTACAGGAAATTGTAGAGAGGCATCCCAGGTTTCACAATATTACCCCTCTGAAAACAAAGCATGTGGTGCACTGGTGTCGATGCCATGGCTACACTCCACCGGACCCTGAGACCCTGCGGAACGACGAGGACTCGATTGAAGACGTGCTGACACAGATAGACAGTGAGCCAGGTGAGTGTGGAGGGACAGGAAGCTCCTTTCTGCCAAAGACACCGTTTATTAAATGCCTTGAGATCGTGTGTAAGTGCACACATGTGCTGCTGCTTTGTTCTGAACTCTGTTCGCTCTGGAATAACCAAAGTTGGAGACTGTAAGGGCAGGCCTGCAAATGAGGCTGTCCCTTGCCCATATTAGTCCTGATGTTTTTCTGGGGCCTCTTGGGTTTTATTGTGCTTTGGGTCCCATGGAGGCCCAGGGTAGATAAGTCTCATGAAAGATGATTCTTGCTCCACAAATATCATCTTTTATAAATGGATACACAAAGTAAGCATAGGGAGTAATGACATTTCTGCCCTTGGGCAAGCTTTAGCCTCTGTTAAGACTTACTGTGAAAACAGTATGAATGAGTTCAGCTGCAAAACAAAAACCCCAAACCTGGCAGTGGCAGTGTGGAGCTCAGTGTGGATTAGTTTACCTCTAAAAGTGAGGTGAATTGGCTTATGTGAAGCATCCCACTTTGTCTTACAGCTGCTACATTATTCCAGTAGGCATAGCTCTGGAACCCCACAGTTCATTTTAGTATGTATTAAACGTACATCTTTAATTTCATCCGTTCTTCACAGTTAAGCTCTCTCGTTTCAACTTCAGCTAATCCCTCTCCCAAAGCTGAATGTTTTTCTGTTCTGATCATTCAGGGATTTAAGGTATTTCACAGAAGTGTATGGAATGGATTATACTTTGCAAAATCTGACCCTGCGTTGCAGTTGTTGAAGGTGGAAAGGAAGGCTAATATCTACCTTTTAATATTTTTAGCTAAATCACTAGATTTTTCTTTGGCTTTGAAGTTTATTGCATAGTTTTCCACTAAAGGTTTTACTGGCTCATGTTGATCATGAAGAGAAGAGGTTGCCCTTTTGTCATTCCACTGTGAATGTCTTCTGATTTTTTATCTCAAAAATCATGATAATGTTTGTCAGAATGTGAAAGATGATTTAGTGCTACATGATGCCTGCATAGTAAAAACTTCACCTCTCCAAGCAAATTGAAGAGCATCAGACTGGTTTACCAGTTGCCAAAAAGCTTCTGTGAGAATGTCTGGGAGACTGACATTAGCCTGGTTTTGTTTGAAATGCAGCCTTCTTGATTGGTGTAGGTGCACATGAGGGAGAGAGGACCACAAGTGTCATAAAGATATAATTAGAACCCTCTCAGTGACTGTTTGCATTTCTGTGTATCTTTGTGTTTGGTAGGAACTACAAAAATAACTTGCAATTACCTTAATTTCTTACCATGTTTTGAGTGTGCATCTGTTTATAAACAGCTCTTCATAACCTATCATGTGTTTAATTGATTGCTTCTTTTTCAGAATGCCCTTCATCTTACAGCAGTGGTGAGGAGCTGTGCCGAAAAGTAGAGGAACTACAGCAATTTCTGAAACAAGAACCAGAACACGAAGAGGAAGTAGATATTCTCAACTTTAGCGAGCCATTAAAAATAAACATTAAGAAAGAACAGGAGGAGAAACAAGAAGAGATGAAGTTCTACATGGCTTCCTTGCCTGCATCAGAGTTCGTGAGGGACACTGCTGAGAAGGTAATAAGTGACTCATAAAGCTAATTGGAACTGTTGTTAAGCTAATTGTGGTCTTGCATTTATTTAGTTGCCTTTTTTTCATCTCTGGATTTTTTAATGAAAGTTTTTATAAATGCCCTGGAAAAATTGGGCCTTCTGACTCATGACACTCAGTTCCTGCTGCTGGCAGGAGAAAGGGAAGTGTACCAGCTGGCTGTATTGCAAGGCTTAGTACAGAAAAAAATCATCTTGGAAGGCTAAAAGCAAGGATAAATGAGGAGTGAGGAGCACTAGCACTGAATTTTTCCTGTGAAAGATCTGGACTTGTTTCTTGGACTAGTGCTGTTTAATAGCAACTCCTGAGAAGGGGTTGTGATAAAGATTAGGCCACAGCAAACTTCTCGACTGCTTGGATTGCTTCCTCCCATTCAAATCAGGGCAAAAGAAAGGGAGAGGGAGGTGTTCTGTCACCGCAGCAGGGAGGAGAGAGAGAAGACTGGCTTGGCTTGTAGGAAAGAGTGCTCGCCATTGTACCAGCGGAGACGGGAGCAGCAGGAGCGGTTTGCGTGCAGCAGTTGTGGGAGAAAGAAAGGATCTCTGTCTCCACCTCACATGCTGACATCAAGGGACAAAGCTTTGGCTCTGCAGTGTATCCAGACTCTTGCTACATAGGTGACAAAGGCACGGACACAATGAGAGTGGGACTGAGGGATGAAACACTCTTTTGATGTGGAACTTTTGTGCCAGGAGTACTGTTCAAAGTGGTTTCAGTTGCCATAGTTGGGTGCAGGGAAGATGATGAGTAGATGGATTGAATATATGTACAGTTTTAAAATAGGGCTACTGTTCTCAATCCAAATATACCCAATGCAGCCTGGGTTTTGTGTGAACTTTCTGAAATAAACATTAAAACCTGCTTTTGTTTCTTCTGACTTTTAAAGACATTTCTGCAGGCTGTACTAATTTTCCCCAGATTTTTTTTTAAATGAAGCCTGAGATTATATTGCTTGGAAGTTCTGCAGTGTCTGCTTGCTTCTTTTTTAATTACCCTTTGTAATATTTTTTTTTCCTGTTAATCTCATCAAATCTGTAGTACAACTGTAGTACAACGTGAGTTGTGTTATTTGATGTACTAATTTTTTGTCCTCTCATATTTTATAGATAGGGATTTCTTTTCAACCTGCTGAGGTACAAAAGAATGTTTATGCATCAGTAATAGAAGATATGATTTTAAAGGTAAGAAATTATTTCACAATAAGGACTTAAATGTAATTGTATTAACTCAGTAATTAAAAAAAATTGAATATCTTTATTAATATGCATTTATCAAATTAGGAGATCAGGGTCTGATATCTGTCTTTCTGCACATATAGGCAGGTATAAATCTGCCCAAAGAGTCATACACCTTTGTGAGTGTTTCCAGCTTTCTAACTGATTTGTTGACTTGGACACAGAACAGTGATTTGCAGATTCTCACTGCCACTGAGATACTGACTCATTCTGTAATTTTGAAAATGCCTCTTACTTTGTCCTTCCCTTCATAACTGGGGGTTAATCTGCCAGAGTTGTGTAAGACTTGATTATTTTATACAAAGTTAGCTATTTTTCCCTAAATACCTTTTGGGTGCTTTGCTTGTGTTGTCTCTGCTGGGAAACTGCTGAATTCCTGCAGACAGTAACAATTCTGCCTTGTGTGAGAAACCGTTTCTCTATCGTAATCGCTTTTGGAAGAACAGAGAAATGGTTTTGTACCAGCTTGGAACAGCATGGAGCTGGAGTTCTTGGGTTTGGACTGAAGCTAACACAGATTATTTCTAGCAGCACTCTGCTGTATTTCATGCCAAAGATGATTTTTGGGATTCTTTTTACAGGGTGCTCCTTATTAGAAGGTGAGTTTTGAAAAAGCTGATTGATTCCAGGTGGCACACGCACTCGTGTGCATGCCTGTGCTGTGCTCTGCTCCCCGTTACTTACTATAGTTAAATTCTGATATAGATACATCCATTTGTAGACACAGATTGTAACCATCAGGTTGCTCCATTACAACTGTAGAGTTATGCCAATTTTCCTGACTGAATATCCCAGAAATCTCTGCTCTGGTCTTGACACAGCACAGAAAGACAAGAGCCTTAATTACTTTTGACTGAACCTTGGTTAAGCCAAGTGTTGGGCATACACCTGCTGGCTTCTTGCTGCCCAGGCTAGAAGGTTTCTGAGGCAGTGTCTTGACCACAAGGAGTAGTTGGCAAGCATGTGTCAGCTCCCAGGAGAATATCCACAGTCTGCCATGTACAAAACCAGCTCTGGTGAGTGAGAGGAAGGGCCCTGAAATGCTCTTTGAAACACAGGCTCTGGAACATTGGATCCACCCTGCTGTGCGCTTGCTGCTCTGCAGGTCCAGAGGGAAACCAGGCTGGGCAGTTACAGTCTAAGCCCTGTGCGTCTATTGGTCTCTTTCTTTGTGTTAAATATGCATGTCTTAAGTAATAAAACTCACTTGGGCATTTTGAGCTGCCCTCTGCTGATTGATTGAGGATTGAAGTGAGCTAAAATTTCAGCTGCTCTGACACTGCTACTCGAGCAAATAGCAAGTTTCCTGACTCTTTTTGTAATGCTGTCTCCTCTCGCAGGCCACTGAACAGCTCATGAGTGATATCCTGCGGCAGGCGCTGGCTGTGGCGTATCAGACGGCTCCTCACAACAGGTACAGCAGCTTGGTTCTGTGGGACCACTTACACCAGCACTGAGGGCTTGAATGGCTTGAGACATTTAGTCAGTGTGGGGCTCAGACCATGAGAGTGAGGGAATTTGTGGACTATATTCTGGGAAGATCCAAGCCTTATAAGGGCATTCATCATCTCCTGGCTCCATAGTGGCAAAGGATGGAAACATAAACAACATCAAAGACTGGGGCAGGATTCTCTGGCATTGCCACACCCAAAGGCAGATGACCTGTTTCTACAGAGCCATGTTGGAAGGACCTGCTAACTCTTGTCCATCTCAGGTTACTGTGTAGACAACTTAGCCATGGCCTGCCAGAACTTAAACAACCTAAATAATCTCTGTATTTTACTGATATACACTTCTCTGGCTCAGATATTGAGTGATTTTTATAGAATCATAGAATGGTTTGGGTTGGAAGGGACTTTAAAGACCATCTCGTTCTAACTCCTGCCATGGGCAGGAACACCTCCCACTAGACCGGGTTGCTCAGAGCCCCATCCAGCCTGGCCTTGAACACTTCCAGGGATGGGGCATCCACAACTTTCTCTGGGCAACCTGTTCCATTGCCTCACCACCCTCAGAGTAAAGAATTTTTTTCTAATATCTTATAATTAGGCCACATTTTGATTTCTGTTCAGCAGAATGATTTGGGATAGCTTGAAATTGATTAAAAAATAACACTATGAGAAAATGTTTAGTTTAAATATTCACTTGTATGCAATGTGTAAATGTTTATACAATATACATAAAATGTATGTGTATGTGTTATATGTAGAAATACATACACAATGTCTGTGCTATAGAAGGTTAAGAATTAATATTTCAGCACTTGATATTCCTGTCCCAGTACCCAAGAGGTTTCCCTCAATCTCGAGAGTGGCTTTTTTTGTGCTGTGACATTTTAATGCTTTTCCTGTGTTGCTCTAACACCTGCTCTCATATAATGTTTTTGATTGATATTTTTATTCCCCCCTCCCCCCACATTGGTAAATTTATTGGCTTGCTGCTTTATGGACACATGCTTTTTTATGTATTATAATAGCATCTCTGATGCATTCCCTGCAGGACTCCAAGAGAGATCACAGTGATGAATATTCACAAAGCCATCTGTAATATTCCCTTTCTTGACTTCCTCACAAACAAACATATGAAGATACTAAATGAGGAACAATGAAATAGAGCAGAGAAGATGCTACAGGAAAGGTGGATTTATGACTGAAGTTGGGTTGACAAATCCAGTATTTCTGTAGGACACTTATATACTTTTATAACATTGGGCTACTAGATTGTTACCTCCAATTAAAGATGCACCTTAATGCAACAAAATGATGCTCTGTTCCAAATCAAGTTGTTAAATGTCAGTGTTTACTTGGTAAGTGTGTGTTCAGTGGCTGAACAAACATTGTCAGTTTGCATTGAGTTGCTAGCTGTGAGAGACTCCACAGGCCTGGTTCCTCTGAGACAGCTCTATTGATGAGATTGAACTGGGTTTTAAGATAAAAATTATGCTTTTTGATGCAGTCTACATATGAGTTGGTTTCTCCATGCAGTGGGCAGGGCACTTGCTTTGGCACTTGAGTGTGAGAAAAGTCTAAGGCAGCTTTTAAAGGTGGGTCATTTGAGTAGATGGATGGGGTAGGTTTGGATGTTGGGGAGCAGAAAGCTGATGGCTGCAAAAATTCTGCCAGTCCTGCCCGAGCATGATGTGTGTGACTGAGAACACACCTGGGTAAGCTGATCAGTATCTTTCTCAGCTAAGTGTCACCTCACCAAATTCCTTACCACTCTAGAGGAGGTATCAGATGCTGCTTTTCTTAGTCACCTCAGAAAGGGTAGACTGGCACATTTTCAGTCAAGATGAGCAAACCACGGTCAGGCCTGGGAAGATTTGACTGACCACTTGTCCTGCATGGGAAGGGAAGGAGCAAGGACAGCGTTCAGTGTTTGTGGGCTTGGACTGGCTGAAACACTTTGCTTGCCCAGCAAGTGCCTCCCCAGGCTGTCAGAAGGTTTGGAGTGTGCTGGAGGGCAGGTGACCAGCTGTGTTGTACAAGTTTTAATGTTTTGGCAGTGTTCATTAATGATCAGCTTAGACTGAAGTGCTGTGGGAGCAGCACTGCTTTGGATTAAGTTCTGCTCTACACAGCCTGATTAGGATGAAAAAGTCAGGGATTTGCTGCTTGTGGGGAGATCCTCTGATGTCTTGACTGCAGGAAGAAATTCTGCTACTAACCCCAGCACTTACCTGTCTCAGGAACATCACTGGTGAGGGAGACATGTCTGCAGCCTGGCTACCAACACCTCGCTGGAGAAGGCTTCGCTGACAACATCCTGACCACCTCACATCCACCACCCCTTTGTCCTGCCTCATGGGGGCTTGCTGGTAGTGTGAATAAGCCATTGTGAAGCTGGTGGGACTCCTGTGGGACTGTCATGCTTTCAGCGTGCTTGTTTTGTGTGGCAATGCTGTCGTGTGGGTGGAGCATGGGTCAAACAGCCAGAACCTCCAATGTGCTGATCTCAGCTGGGTCTCTGATCTGCTGCATGGCCTTTGATTTAATCACTCTGTGCCTCAGTTTCCCCATCTCTGAGCATGGGGAGCAGGATACCTACCTCACAGGGGTGTACTGAGGCCTCGCTCTTGTTGGTGCCGTGCTTTGACAATACAAAGCCTTTTATAAACATTAAGCTACAGTTGTCTTTCCTGGCCTGGGGTAGGAACAGAAATCTTCAAAATGTTATCTTTTGGTGCTTTTTTTGGGTAGAAGACAGATGATGGTAACTCCAGTAGTGTGCACGAACTGTGAAAAATGGTTCAGTTAAAGGGTGGCTTCAGGCTTTGAAGGAGAGTAGCACAGGTTTAATGCAGTTGTTAAACTGAAGAAAGCACTGTGTACCTCAGATGAGGTCCTGCCTGTCTTCTCCTTAAGTAAAACTAGGGTCTGCAGGAAAGCCCCTCTCAGTTCATCACAGCTAACAGGGAGCTGTAGTTCTCTTTAATGTAAGAGTGGCAAAACCTGACCCTTGAATCCAGGAAATGGGACCAATGGATGAAATCCAAACAGCATTCAGAGAAGGACTTAAATGCCCCCTGGGAAGGACGTTACAGATGCTCTGGATTCAAAAGCTAATCCTGGCTTGTTCGGGTGAGCTGAGTGCAGGATTGCCTGCGAAAGGAAAGGGCACAGCTTAGCCCTGACATTAGTTTATCAGCAGAGGTCAGTGTGATGGAGTCAAGCAGTGGTGATTATGTTTCAGCTCAGTGTGGAGTAGAGAGGAATCCCAGTAGCTGGGGAACTGCAGGCCCCATGCTTTGTAGGCTGTAGTGAATTCCAAGCCTGTACTTTCAGGCACCCCCGTGTGCTTCTTTTAGTGCATAAAAAGAAAAGAGAAGGGCATTTTCAAGATCTGTCACTGTCAGGACAGCCTGCAGTTTGTGTGGGAACAGCCTTTTGGGCAAACTCAGTCGTGCTATGATCTGCAATGACCTTGAGTAGGGTGTGCAGTTTTGGGCAGCACAATATAAAAAAGACATTAAGCTATGAGAGAGCATCCAAAGGAAGCCACGAGAATGGTGAAGGGTCTGGAGGAGAAGCCTTATGAGGAGCAGCTGAGGGCACTTGGTTTGTTCAGGCTGGAGGAGACTGAGGGGAAACCTCATTGCAGTTAAAACATCCTCATGAGGGGAAGCAGAGGGGCAGGTATTGATGTTTCTTGTGACCAGTGACAGAACCCAAGGAAATGGCACAAAGCTGAGTTGGGGGAAGATTAAGTTGGATCTCAGGAAAAGTTTCTTCACCTGGTGGTTGGGCACTGAACAGACTCCCCAGGGAAGTGGTTGCAGCACCAAGCCTGCCTGAGTTCAAGAAGCGTTTGGACAGCGCTCTCAGGCACATGGTGTGACTCTTGGGGTGTCCTGCACAGGGCCAGGAGTTAGACTTGATGATCCTGATGGGTCCCTTCCAACTCAGCATATTCTATGATTCTGTGACACAGATTTCCAGCCCCTGTCTCTTGTGGGCTTAGTTTCTGGGATTGTGATATGCCCAGAGCAACTTTGGAGGATGCAGGAGCTTGTCTTTGGGCATCTGTTTGCAAATTGTGGCTTCTTTGCCTGTGTCCTGCTTGTCTGTGAGGAATGGAATTTCAGAATGAGTCCTGGACCTGGCTCTGAAGCAGGCAGGTAATGACTCCTCATTCTTAATGGGATTCTTGCACAGGGGATCTATTGCTACATTTCTGAGCAACCACAGGTTATTCTCCTAGGAGATGCATATGAATACTATATAAAGTTTGCTGAAGAAAAATAAATTGTTAAAAGCAGATAGGAAATGACAAATTTGTTTAGTCCTTCAGATGTAGGAAACGTTTGCAACAAGTTCTTTGCATTTTGATGAATAGTGGTGGGAGAAAAATTTGTTGGTGAGAAGTTCCTGTGGGAATTGCTTGGAGATGAGGTAGAGATTGTGGAATTTCACACACCTGTTCAGGTGTTTGTGGAATGCTACATGTGATATGGTGTGTTGAAATGTTATGGTGTATTTCTCTGGCTTTTGAAAGAGTCTGGATACAAGTTAAACATCTCTTTACAAATATTGCCCCTATTTGTAATGCTGAGTGTTTAAATCCTTCATGTTATCTGTATTATACTGTATAATTGTGTAAGATACGTATGTTTACAATAAATTCTTTTATTAGCTGTGCCCTAGCACAATTCTAATTTGTCTTGACTGTCACCTGTCACTCAGCGTTTCTCCAAATCCGCAGATACTTTTGTGCTCTGTGTATTCAGAATGTCCTAGTTAGTTCTGGATAAAAATTGCTAGTTCTGGAACTGATCTGAAGGAAGAGGTAATTTTTCCCTTTCCTAGTTATTTTAAAAAGCTCCTGGTTTTGGAGGCTGGGGGAAAGGAAGCCAGGAGCTGAGCTCCAATCTTTCGTCCTCCAGAGCAGCCTGTTTAAACAGCAAGTCATTGGTTTACATGGAAGATTGAAAAGCAAGGTGGGTTGAGGTTGGCCAGCTGCCAGACGCCCACCCAGCCACTCTCACTCCCCTGCAGCAGATGAAAAAGCTTGTGGGTCAGGATAATTTACCAGAGAATCATTTAGTTTGGAAAAGACCGCTAAGATCATCGGGTCCAACAGCAAACCCAGCACTGCCACGTTCACCACAAAACCGTGTGCCCAAGTGCCACATCGGCACATCTGGTAAATCCCTCCACCGATGGGGACTGCACCACTGTTCTGCTCAGATCAAGGCAGTCTCTGTAGATAAAAACAGGGACATCACGTACCAGTTACTGCCATAGGCAAAACAGACTCGACTTGGGGAAAATTAGTTGAACTGATTGCCAAATAGAGCTGGATGGTGAGAAACAAAGACAAGAAAAAACAACTGAAAAAAAGCGTCGTGTCCCCCCCTCCTCCCTAACTCCTTTTTTTCCTCAGATTGACTTCTTCAGTCCTTCATTCCCGACTGTTGCCTCCTCCGTCCCTCAGGCACCGGGCTCAGCCGGCTCCTCTCAGGGGTTCGGCTCCCTCGGCTGCCCGGGGGTGGCGGGAACCGGCTGTGTCCGGCACAGGGCAGCCCCTGCCCTCACAGAGACCCACACACACACTGCCCCCCTGCCCTCA